TGAGGTGCAGATGTAGAGAGTATACATGCACATTGCTCTGTGAGTGCCTTCTGTTAGATAAAAAGACTTTTCTTCAAACTCACTCATTTTTTACTTCAAGTTTCCTTGTACACAACAAGAAGTGAAGCGATGGCTTTTAATACATAGCTCTTTTAGCAGAACTTCACAAACACAGTTAAATGATACCATTTTCATATTAACATTAGATGCTTAAAATAGAAAATCAGTTGTATTAGGGTTTTCCCGAGAAACAAAACAGGTTTGTTTGTGTGGAGAGGGAAAAGGAGGGCAGGGGAGAAAGAGAGAGAGAATGAAAATTTGACTTATTTTAAGGAATTGGCTCACTTGATTGTGGAGGCTTGGCAAGTCCAAAGTCTTATGGGTTAGGCTGGCAGGCTGGAGAATCTGGGAGCTGCAGTTGGAGTCCAAAGGCAGTGTTCTGGCAGGGTTCCTTTTTCTTCAGGTGAGGTCAGCCTTTCTTCCACTCAGCCCTTCAAATGACTGGAGGAGGCCCACCCACATTATGGAAGGTAATCCGTTTTGCTTAAAGTCCACTGATTTAAATATTAATCTCATCAAAAGAAAACGCCTTCATGGAAACATCCAGAATAATGTTTGATCAAATATTTGGACACCATGGCCCAGCCAAGTTGACATAAAATTAACTATCGCATTAGTTAATTCCAATAATGGTTCAATTTTTTAAATCAAATTCAAGGAATAAAAGAAAAGCTTATGGAAATTCATTCTGGTGGAGGTGAAACATGCATTATACAGAAAGCTACTGTAAATTTAGTTTTAAAATTTAACATTTAGGATAAGTATTTTTGTGGTGATAATTTTTAATAGAAGTACAAATTTTGATGGTGCACAGGACCAGGGTAAAAACAAGGTTTTTTACTAAATGCAGAAACATGTGGAGGAGAAATATACTGGCAATTGTTTGTGGTGCACAAATAATTCCTCTTGAGTCCAAACAAGTAAACTATGAAATTGTTTGTAGAAAGGCAGGAATGAGGAAGGGGAATTTTGGATTATACTGAATGCTTTCCTTATTTCTTCCTGCATGCAGATATTCCAGTACAGAACAATGGCATACCTACCATATTTCACAACCAAAATAGATCATTTTAAAACAAAAAAAATGACACAGTGGGGTGGGGGCTGGGTGGAGGGGGCAAAGGAGGGAGGAAATGGGAGACATCTGTAGTAGTGTCAACAATAAAAGATAAAAAATTATTTTGTCTATATGATAATTTTCTATAGTAATTAGTAAGAACCATTATCTTGATTTTTGTCTTTAGTTTTAAAACAAAATTTTAAAAGAATACATTTTGATTTTAAACATATTTAGTAAAATATTTTATATATGAACCAAGTGTTCACTAACCAAACAAAAGTATTGTCTTGCAGGTTGCAGTCTTTGCTGTTTTAAATTTTAAACACAAACTAAGGTCCCAAACTGTCACACAGTATGACAGGATTGAAGAAAATAGTATTCTTCTCTGTCTTTATAATCACAGAGCTATCAATGTTTGTTTCAAATCTCTTTTAAAATACAGAAGTATGTGGTACTACAGGGGTTGGAGAAAAAACTGCAAGCCAGAAGCAAGCTGGAGAGGTTCTGAAGTGCTGGATACCTAACTTAGTAACAAATGTGGGTAGCTGAGACTGCGTGTGTCACCTGCCAAATGTATACCCGGAAGTACTCTGAATTAACTTCTCAGTGGAATACATGTTTCTTAAAAAGATAACAAGAAAAATGTGCTGATATGAACTTCAAAGTCTATGCCCCAGAGAAATGCATTTCTATGTTTACCAAAAGATATGTAAAATATGTTTATAGCACCACTATTTGTAATAACCCAAACCTGTATACTGCCCATATATCCATCAACAGGGTGATGGATAAGCAGTATTAGAGGCCAGAAGGATAAGTAGAGGCAAAAATATGGAACACATAACATTATCACTTATTAAAAGCAAGCACTGTGCTAGGCACTTTTGCATTCTTTTACTTAAGCTTCACCTGTGGTGGAGATATTATCCTTATTTGACATATGAGGAAAGTGAGGCACACAGAGGTGGATCCTGCCCAAGGTCATAACTCTAGTTAGTGATGAACTTAGAATTTGAACTCAGGTCTCAGTTCAAAGCCCACATGTACCTTTTCCTATTATAGTCTGTTGCTTCTCCTTGATATAGGGAGAGCAGAGAAACTAAGGAAGCATGGAGTTCACACATTCGTACATGCTAAAATTAATAACTGCTACTGTTTCTGGAGCACCTACTATGTGGCATGTACTATGCTAGGTGCTTTCGTGATGTTTCACAATTCTCATAATAACCCTTGACAGCAAGATTTATTATTCTCATTTTTTAGATGAAGAGGCTGAGACTCAGAGAAGTTCAATGACTTTCTCAGTTTCACAAGTCTATGCCATCCCATATCCCTCAGTAGTCTTAATGGAGGCTACCAACTATGTGCTGGGCACTGTGGTGGGTGGTGGAGCTATATAAATGAGTATATTAGGACTGGAAGAACAGTTATTTGCTTACCTGACATATTTGAATGTAGAAAAAATTTTTTTCCAGTTCCATATAGGGAATTGTGGAGGCAAAACTAAAGATCAGTAATAGTGATAGATCCCATTTACTAATTGGGATAATTATGCCTTGTCCTAAGGACAATTGCACTAAGGACAATTGTGCATTGTCCTAAATACAGTACCACATATAAAAATTATTTTAAGCCCTGGCTGGTGTTGCTCAGTGGACTGAGTGCTGGCCTGCGAACTGAAGAGTTGCTGGTTCGATTCCCAGTCAGGTCACATGCCTGGGCTGCGGGCCACATCCCCAGTTGCAAGAGGCAACCACACATTGATGTTTCTTTCCCTCTCTTTTTCCCTCCCTTCCCCTGTCTCTAAAACTAAATAAATAAAATCTTAAAAAAATAAATTGTTTTTAAAAGGTGCTGTACAATATAAATTGTAAACAACAGGCCAAAATTGGGTCATTTTTTCTAAGCCGCTAAGCCACACCATATAATGAAAACTTAATAACTAACATGATTTCAGCTTCAGCCTCTCTCAGAAATGAAATTTTAAACCAATCAGTCTAGAAAGTCCTGGTCACTAGGGAGATAAACTGCCCGATTAGACCCCCTTCCTTCTCCTAAGTGATGGTAACCTTGCCTGAAATAAACCATTCCTAATTTCTTAGTCCAACTCTCTGCCTATAAAAACCTTCAATTCTATACAACTCATTGCAGTGTCCTTCCAGTTGCTAGTGGAATGCTGCCTGTTTCATGAATTGCTTAACAAATCCAATTAGATCTTCCAATTTGCTTAATTGAATATTTTTCTTCAGCCATATGCCCTGGCTGGTGTGGCTCAGTGGATTGAGCATCAGACTGTGAACCAGAAAGTCACTAGGTCAGTTCCCCATCAGGGCATGTGCCTGGGTTGTGGGCCAGGTCCCCGGCAGAGTGGGGCATGCAAGAGGTAACTACACATTGATGTTTCTCTCCCTCTGTTTCTTCCCCCCTTCTCCTCTTTAAAAATAAGTAAATAAAATGTTTTTAAAAATTTAAAAACTTCTCTCTATATATATATGCATGTATACAAGGTATGTCCAGAAGGTATCCAGGCATATAATATGAAAAATAGAAACATTTATTGAAGAAGACACAAGATACAAAAAAACATTGTACATAGGATAATGACACCTCAGTCTCCTTCAAAGTAGGCACCTGGGGACCTCACACAGTTCTCGCAATCGTCATCAATGGCCCCGTCTTATTTTCCTGAATCTCATCCATGGTCTGAAATCTCTTCCCTTTCAAAGGTGATTTTAGTTTTGGGAAAAGCCAGAAGTCACAGGGTGCCAAATCTGGGCCCTGGGTGGGGGCTGAGTCACCTAGGTGATTTGATGTTTTGCTAAAACACTTGGCAGGAGGCTTGATACATGAGTGGACATGTTGTCCTGAGGAAACTGCCAATCAGTAGTTGCCCATAGCTGTGACATTCTGAATCATCCAGTTTCCATGGAGGAATGTCCAACTTAATGCAAAATCTGATGCAGATTCATTGCTCTGCTCGCTCAGTTGCTTTGAATGTGATGGCCACACAGTACAGATGCTCACTCAACAGTGTCTACCGCCCCCACGGATTAGTACACTAAAGTTGTCATTGTTCACGCATTGCATTCCAGTCCACTCTCCTCGGTGGCCCAGTTACATGGATGTTACACAAACCATTGTTATATTAACAACGGCTGGACTTTTTCTAGACAGACCGCATGTAGATCATATATACACATATACAGCACATATATACATATATATGTGTGCACATGTATCATGTCCTTTACTCCTCACAAGAATTCTATTAACATACCCATTTTTACAAGGAGGAAATACAGGCTTAGAGTCTGATTTGCACAAGGTCACAGATCAGTTAAGCCTTCCCCTTAGATTTGTATCCTGATCTGGTTGATCATAGGGCTCTAGGTCTCCACTCTGACAACTAGTTAAAGATTTTTGTGAAAATTGGGCCACAAGTCAGGAAAATGAAGTCCACAGTGCAATTCAAGGGTTAGACTAGAGACCCCAGGCAAATAGAACCACCTGGTGATTGAACCTTGAAGAGGTGGAGCCATTAGGGCCTGTAGGAAGAAAATGGCGCGATAGGTTTGGAAATTTGGGAGCCATCTAAATGGGACGCTGAAGGAAAGAGGGACACAGGCTGGGCGGGCGCCGTCTTCACGTCTCTCCCAAGAAGATTCCCACGGCCACTTAGTGAACGTGGAAACTGGCTAGCGGAAGCGCGCAGGGAGCGCGGGACCGGGGTGTGGGCGGGGCCTCAGGGGCGGGGAGGGGCGGGGCAACGGGGCGGTACTTGCTCCTCAGCTCTGAGCTGTGGTGACTAAAGCTGAGGAGAGCGCTGGCCAAACCGTTACGTTTTCCGGCTAGGCCCTTCCTCCTGCTGCGCCTCCGCCCACTTTTCGGCCGGGTGGCTGCTGCTGCTTCTTCCTCCAACACCCTTCAGTTGGCGCGCCGGCTGGCTCAGTTATGGCGACTTCCAGCCCCAGTGTTGTGGTGAGCAGCTTGGCGCACCTCCCCAGACCCGGGGGAGGCGCGGGGCCCGCAGTGCGGGCCTGGGCAGCGGTGACACGGGGACGGGGGGCGGTGGATGGCAGGCGGTGTCAGCTCCCTGGGTTCAGCTTTTTGTCGCACCGGGGAGGCTGGGGACGGAATGGCGAGGTAGGAGTGGGTGCTTCTTCTGGAGAGTCTTGGGAAAGCGTGTGGGAAGAGCGAGGTGTGTGCGGGGGGTTGGCTTGTGGGCCGACTTGTACCGCTTGCTAGAGTGCGGGGGGGAGGGGCTGTGGGCCAATTCAGGAATGATTTGGTCGGGTGGGGGTGAGGCCCTTCTCTGTACACTTTGGGGGGGTTGGACGTGAGGGCGTCCAGGTACCTGTGTAGAGGGCCCAGGCACGGAAACGACTACGTGGGAGGACACGTGGGGACCAGTGCTTTCATCTAGTTCTGCAAATATTATAATGAATATTTGTGCCTCACTGATTCCGCACCGCAGCCTTAGTAGCGGTAACCATGCCTACCTTTTTTACACATGGAGGAAATAATGAAACAATATTAGGTGATTTTACCGGCGTAGAGGAGGCAGACTTCAAATTCAGATACGCTTGAAACTGTACCGCATGCTCTTTGATGCTGCAAAAAATGCCAGCCTGGTCCTTATCTTCAAGGGCATTCACACCATAACCAGCCTCTCATATTGTCTCCAACCTCATTGGTTCTTTTTCTTGTTTCTAGAACAAGCCAAGCTGCACCCCTCCCCCCTCACCTTTCTGATCATGCTTGCTAAAATAGCCAGTCTCTCTCAACACTTAAATGCCTTAGCCTGCATCTTCATTTTCATTATTTAAGGAGTTTCCTCATAACCTGTTGATTGTTTCCCACTAAAATATAAACTTTATAAGGGCAGGAATCACCACTGTAACCCCAGCTCATAGTATAGTATCCGACATGTAAGAAATTCTCAGTAATGGTTTGTTGAATTAATAAATTAAATAATCACTTGAGCCCTAAAAGAGAAAAGATTCTATTTCTTTTTATCCATTGTGACTTAAGGTAAAAGAGCACTGTTCTTAAAATGGAATCTGGCCTGGAATTCTGTTGTGTGGCCTTGAACAACTTCTCCTTTTGAGGCTTAAGGAAATAGGGAGGGAAAATAATTTTCCTTCTACCCCTCTAAGTTCTCCTGGCTGGATTAATCAAGTTAACATGAGACAGTAACAGGAGAAAGTGATCACTTTTATTACCTATGAGCAGGCAGGGGTTCCATAATAGTTGAGGCTTTTATGTGATCTTGAGTTAAGGGGAAGTTGTGGTTTTGGACTTCAAAGTAGAAGGCAGTTTGCAGGGAGATGGAAAAGAAAATGTTTGGTAAATAAATGTTTGCCTAGCTACCTTTAACAATGGGACCCAGAAGACTGACCAAAGGGGCTTTGATAGGTTTCTCCCTGTCTATCACACTTAGTTCATATTAAACAATAGTTATCTATGATGATAGCTCCCCTCTGCCGAATTTTTTTAGGCAGTTTGGGGAAAGGTCACAGTTTTTTTCCTGAGGCTTTTGTTCCTTGAAAATAACCAGTTTAAAATAATATCCCAAAAGGCATATTCTGGCTAGCAAACTCTACTTCCCTTTGGTGTCCTTAGGTATAACTGAAGTGTTAGCTACTTCATGGTGTTATTGAAAGGATTATAAGATGGTTTATGTGAATCAAAAACCTTTGTATGGGAATAGTAATAATAGTTACATAATAGTTATTTAGGCCTCAAAACAACGCTGTAACAGTAGTACGATTATTGCCATTTTACAGAAGAGGAATCTTTGAATCCTCAGAAAGTTTAAGTAATTTAACGTCAACATAGCATACCCATGTCATACTTACATTTAGAGGAGTTCAGGCTGAAACCTAGGTATGTTAAGAGCCCATGCACTTAAATGTTATGCTAGTAGTAGGTACTCAAAAAATGGTGGGGACTGTTTTTATTCAGTTGCCAAGGAAGTTAGATGCTTTTAGCCTTGGGGTATGATGCCTACACCAGCATAAGGTGAATTATTATTGCTAGAACTAGCTGGTGTTAATTTTGTGTTTCTGTTTTGCATATTCCTGTTCCTTTTTAAATTTCCTTCCCAGAAATTGTCTGCATGTTAGCAATAACAAACACTTACATGGTGCTTACTATATGCTGGTTAGTGTTCTAAGCCCTTTATGTTTATTAACTGGTTTGATATTTAGGAAATAATTTGTGGGGCTCCAAGAGGTTGAATAACTTGCCCAAGATCACCCAACAATGCTAGAATTTGAATATAAGTTATCTGGCCCCAGAGTCTGCTCTTAACATCTCCACTTTTAGGTTAGTGACAATTGTGGAAAGTTATTTAGTACTTACTATGTCTTAGGCATTGAGGTAAATATTTTGCAGACATCATTGAGTATAACTGTCTGAAAGTTACATAATAGGTACCTTATGATGTAGATAAACACTAATGTGACTTTGGAGGCACATATGGGTGAAGTAATTTGTCCAACATCATTTACATGAAATTACCCCCCAGATATGCCTGATATAACCCATGCTGCTTGTAACTATCATTGAACTGCCAATATAAATTTGGACATACTTGAACTAAGCAAGTACAATCTTCTGGAATTTTGCAAATTAATGTGAAACATCAAATATACATTATTTGGATATTATATCTTCTAAATTTCAGGATGGTAGTGCTAGAAATGTAATCCTGTAATAACTAAGTTTAAACTTTACCCTGCCCATAATTTTCACAGATTGATAAAATAGTACATTTTATTGGTCTACAACCCTGCCATTTTATTTATTTATTATTTTTGAAGATTTTATTTATCTACTTTTAGAAAGAGGAAAGGGAGAGATACAGAGGGAGGGAAAAATCAATGTGTGAGAGACACATCGATCCATGGCCTCTCACACACCCCCAGCTGGGGACCTGGCCTGCAACCCAGGCAGGTGCCTGGACCAGGACCCTTTGGTTCGCAGGCTGGTACTCCATCCACCTAGCCACTCCAGCCATGGCACAATGACCAACAGGGTTTAGACTGACAGTGGTCAGTATACACCAAAATTATTCTTTGTGACCGCCAAGAAATGGAGTAGATCACTTTGAGGGTTTCATTCTGCAAATTGAGTAATGTGACATACAGTCTAGATCCTTCTTAATTGTTTTCCATTGTTTGTATCTAGGTATTGCAGGAAGTCCATAGTAAGGAGGTAGGGAAAAAGACACAAGGACAAACCACATCAGCAGAGAAGAAGGGCCTTGGAGTTTTCTGTAGTTCATTAGGCAGTAACTGGGCCATGTCATTTTCTCTGTGTCAAGAGATGCTAAAGATGAACTAGTGTACTCTTTTTTCTTCCTGTAAGTTTATGTTATGTGCATTCAGTAAAATTTGCATGTTTTAAAAATATCAACCACCATCATTAATATCAATATTTTTCTGTCAGTGGTAATAAAATCACTAACATCTAGAATAATTTGCTACTAATAAGAATTCAAACAGATACTTCAAATTGTTATGAAACTGCTATCTTCACCACTGTGCTTCTCATTATTGATAGGTATATATTTTTTGTCCAGAATGAACATACTTATTATTCCACTGTGCACACTAATAAAAGGGAAGATCTTATTGTTGAATAAATTCATATCCTTGCACATGAGGCCACTTACCTGGGAACAGTTAATAATTTATCCCTGTGTAGAATAGGCAAGAATGCTGATTTTAATTCTTATAATCCTTACATTGTTGTGAACCTTTTAATTATTTAAAAAAAATATTTATTCATTTTTAGAGAGTGCAAGGGAGGGAGAAAGAGAAGGAAACACCAAAGTATGGTTGCCTGTCATGCTCCTTCTCCTGGGGACCTGGCCAGCAATCCAGGCATGTACCCTGAGAACCCAACTGGCAATCCCTCAGTTTGCAGGCCAGCACTCAATCCACTGAGCCACACCAACCAGGGTTTGAACCTTTTACTTCTTAAACCTTAGAAGGGAAGGAAAGCAAGTTATATATGTAATTTATTTGTAAGACTGACATAAGCTTGGAAGATGTCACCTAAGAGTATTTATTCACTGGAAGAAAACTTGAAATACCCAAAACTCTCAGAGCTTATCTGTGAATGAAGTTGATTGATATTTTTCTAAATTTGACAAGAATTCTAAAAATGTTTATGACATCACTAATAATGAATTGTGAAGTGGAAAAAGAATACTGTAATGAATAAATTAATAAAAATAACCATGATAAATGAATTACTAAATTATTCTTTTTAGTATAGACAATAGGGAAAAGTGTCACAAGTAGAGGTAATTTCAAAGCCAAAAAATTATATGGGGAGAAGTAACATAGAGTACTGTCAAGCTACTAATGAATAAAAATACATTATTCTAAAAATACATATCAAATTGGAAGATGAATATACTGCTAGCTTAAATTATTTTCACTTTTAGAAATATGTGTATCAGTAATTCATAATTTTGGTTTTATAATACCCTGCATTATCATAGATTATCTGAAGGGATGGCATATCTGCTTTGGTGCTTTTTGAGAATTTTAAAGTATCCAAATATAGGAGGTAAAAATATAAAAATATGCCACCTAGCAATTTCTGCCCATTCTAGCAGCTTAGAATTGTTGGTTACTAGGAATAAAATAAAATCTGTTTTATCTATTACCGTACATCTTTTAATTCACATAGCTCATTTTAAGACTTATTTCCTCAATCCTATTTAGTCTTGTTTGGACCCACAAACATTGTCATTTTTGATCACAGAGAAACTTAAGCAATGCTAGTCACAGATGATAAATTGATGTTGCAGGTGTTGTCTTACCTCAAGTTAAATACCTTGCTTACTGTAATTTTATTTTATTTTTAAAAAGATCTTATTTATTTATTTTTAGAGTGATGGGAAGGGTGGAAGAAAGAGAGGGAGAGAAACATCAATATGTGGTTGCCTCTCCATGCCCCCTACTGGGGACCTGGCCCACAACCCAGGCATGTGCCCTGACTGTGAATTGAACCTAAAACACTTTGGTTTACAGGCGGGTGCTCAATCCACTGAGCTACACCAGCCAGGTGTAATTTTAGATAATATATCTTTGTAATTAGAAATTTTATGTATAAACCACAAACATTGTTACATAAAAGATCCATTTTTTAAAAATTTTATTTATTTATTTTTAGAGAGAGGGGAAGGGAGGGAGAAAGAGAGGGAGAAAAACATCAGTGTGTGGTTGCCTCTTGCACGCCCCCTACTGGGGACCTGGCCCACAACCCAGGTATGTGCCCTGACTGGGAATTGCACTGGCAACCCTTTGGTTTGCAGCTTGACACTCAATCCACCGAGCCACACCATCCAGGGCTCAAAAGCCATTTAGATGTGAAACATATAATTATTAAGAATGTGGGATGTCAGTTTTACTGGAAAGTGAAATGATTCTGGTAATTTATGATAACAAAAGTATTGAGTTTGATTCTAGAGAAAAGGTAGATATTAATGTTATATTTTTCAGTCTTTCATGTTAATAAAAGTACCTGTCTGGATTTTATCATTAACAAGTATATTACAGGTAGGTTAAAATTTGAGAGCTGGATAAATGGTAAGTCAGAACTTGCTTGTTATAGAGTACTCTTGAAATGTTCCTATAGATGACAGAAATGTCCCATTTCCATTATTTTTGTAGTGAAAATTTGGGGGGATCCTTATTGTTTTATTTTGCATTTTATTATATTTTTCCATTACCAATTATTCCCCTTATACCCCCCACTCCCCGTGAACATTTTGAAATAAGCATGATATATTAGCACTTTGCCCTAGAGGATCTCGCATGATCTTCCCCCCCTCCAAGTGAAAGTAGTGTATGTTTGTTTTAAAAAGAAATCAATACAGACTTTCAACTGCCCTCAGATCAGCTTCCGAGAAAGCACGTGTGCACTACGTGCTGCTGCCTGACCATGCCTGTGGGCTCTTCCTGGTCTACCTGAGTCGCAGCCAGCCTCCTGGCCTTGTGGGCAGACTGAAGCACTGTGCAGGTACTACCAGCCTGACATCACTGTACCTCCAATTCCCCAAAAGTCTGGAGATCTCAAAACAGCTTTTGAGACTGAAAGTGAGAAAACATGAACCTCACATTTCTCAGAATATAATTGTGAATTCTGGGAATAACATTGTAAATCTTAAATATAAAAGCCATGCTGCTTGTCCTTAAGCAGCTACCTAATACAATGCTGACTGAAAGAGGAGGTGCTCAATAGATATTAACAGATACATTGACTTTAATTATTGTTTCACCTCTATTTCCTGAAAACTGCCAGAGTTTATCATATCAACTTCTTGGATATTATTTGGATGATATTTAGTCTTGAATATCATATGAGATAGAGTATTATAATTCTGGTTTATTTCTTTAAATAAGCTTTAAATATAATGGTGATTGAGAATTATAAATCTACTATAATTTAAAAAGTGAAATCAACAGTGAAGAAAAAAGCAAATCAATATTAACGTGTAGGAAGCGGCAAGTTCCTACTTCTATTTGACCATTGCTTGGTTATTCTTCATACCCACCCACACTTCCTTCCTTACTACTCTCCCTCCCTCCTTCTCTTCCTTTTGAATTATAGTTTTTTGTTTCTAGGTTTTGTTTTAGTATATTTTTTAAGATTTCCCATACTCTTTGCATGTATGTGTAAAACCACATATTGCCAAAAATGAATTATAAGAAAGACTGTTGAATCTTTAAAAAGACAGTATATACTCACTGAAGAAAATTTGGAATATATGGTATAAGGGACTAAGTAAAATCTCTGTAAGTTCCCTCTGCAAGATAATAGTTTTCAAGATTTTGTTATATAATTTCTGTGTGTATAGATGCACATATAATATTTATAAAACTGTAATCATTGTACATTTTACCACTGCAGGTATCACATCATTAATGTTATTAAGTAGTTTGTATGCCAGGGACTGGGCATACCAAGACAGCCAGTATATGTTTTTTCTCAAACTGTCTTGTAGTTTCTACAGTGAAGGCACCTTATGAGTGGATTATAACAATCTCAGACTTCTAGGAGTTTGCGTTTTTAAGGAATCAGTTAGCTTTAAAAAATTTTCCCCATTGTGAGATGAGAGGGTATTTGGATGTGGGGTGGGGAACAGCAGATTTTCTTGTTCGGAGTGCTATTTTAATATGATAGACTACAGTATATTAAGATTTTTTAAACTAAATTTCCAAGCATACTCTAAGTGGAGAGAATATTGTATCTCCATAGACTCATCAACCATGTTTAAAATATTATCAAGATTTCCTGGCTGGCGTAGCTCAGTGGATTGAGCACGGGCTGTGAACCAAAGTGTCGCAGGTTCGATTCCCAGTCAGGGCACATGCCTGGGTTGCAGGCCATGACCCCCAGCAACCGCACATTGATGTTTCTCTCTCTCTCTCTCTCTCTCTCTCTCCCCCCTCCCTTCCCTCTCTAAAAATAAATAAATAAAATCTTTAAAAAATATTATCAAGATTTGCCACATTTGTCTTAGCTCTTTAAATTTTTTTTCTTTGCTGAGCTAAAGGAAATTTCATATGTTATTTTACTTCTACAATCTTAACCATTCATCTGTAAAACATGATTGATTTCTTTTTAAATTATGTTTTATTGATTATGCTATTAGAGTTGTCCTGGTTTTGCCCCTCTGCCCCCCTCCACCCAGTGCCCCACACTCCCTCAGGCAATCCCCCCACCATTGTTCATGTCCAGGGGTCATGCATATAAGTTCTTTGGCTACTCCATTTCCTACACTGTACTTTACAACCCATGGCTGTTCTGTAACTGCCTATTTATACTTCTTAATCCCCTCACCTCTTCATCCATTCCCACACACCTCCTCCCATCTGACAACCATCAAAACACCCTCAGTATCCATGATTCTGTCTCTGTTCTTGTTTGCTTAGTTTGGTTTTTAGACTTAGCTGTTGAAAGATACGCATTTTTTGCCATTTTATCATTCATAGTTTTGATCTACTTTTTCTTAAATAAGTCCCTATAACATTTCACATAATAATGGTTTGGTGATGATGCACTCCTTTAGTTTTTCCTTGCCTAGGAAGCTCTCTATCTGCCCTTCCACTCTAAATGATATCTTTGCTGGGTAGAGCAGTCTTGGCTGTAGGTCTCTGATTGTCATGACTTTGAATATGTCTTGCCAGTCCTTTCAAGCCTGCAAAGTTTCTTTTGAGAAATCAGCTGACAGTCTAATGGGAACTCCTCTGTAGGGAACAAACTTCTTTTCTCTTGCTGCTTTCAAGATTCTCTCTTCATCTTTAATCTTTGGCATTTTAGTTATGATGTGTCTTGGAGTGGGCCTCTTTGTATCCATCTAGTTTGGGACTTTCTGTGCTTCCTGGAGTTGCATGTCTATTTCCTTCACCAAATTAGGGAAGTTTTCTTTCACTATTTTTTTCAAATAGATTTCCAGTTTCTTGCTCTTTCTCTTCTCCTTATGGCACCCCTGTGATGTGAATGTTAGACCTCTTGAAGTTGTTCCAGAGGCTCCTCTTTTCTTTTCTTTTTTTAAATTTGTGGTCCTCATTGGTTGTGTTTTGCTTCCTTATGTTCCAAATCCTTGATCTGATTCTCAGCTTCATCCACTCTATTGTTGTTTCCCTGTAAATTGTTCTTTTTTAAAAAAGATTTTATTTATTTTTAGAAAGAGGGAAGGAGAAGGAGAGGGAGTGAAATATCAGTGTGTGGTTGCCTCCCGTGCCCCGCTACTGGGGACCTGACCCACAACCCAGGCATGCGCCCTGACTGGGAATTGAACCAGTGAGCCTTATGTTTTACAGGCCTGCGCTCAATCCACTGAGCTACACCAGCCAGGGCTAAATTGTTATTTTTTAAAAAATATTATATTTATTTATAGAGAGAAAGGAAGGGAAGAGGAACATTAGTGTGTGTTGCATCTTGTGTGTCCCCTACTGGAGATCTGGCCTGCAACCCAGGCATATGCCCTGACTGGGAATTGAACCGGCAACCCTTTGGTTTGCAGGCCTGTACTCAATCCACTGAGCTACACCAGCCAGGGCTGTAAATTGTTCTTTATTTCACTTAGCGTAGCCTTCGTTTCTGACTGGATCTTTTTTATGCTGCTGAAGTCCTCCCTAAGTTCCTTGAGCATCCTCATAACCTGTGTTTTGAGCTCTGCATCTGATAGATTACTTATCTCCATTTTGTTTAGCTCTTTCTCTGGAATTTTGATGTTCTTTCATTTGGGCCATGTTTCTTTGTCTCCTCATTTTGGCAGCCTCCCCATGTTTGTTCCTATGTATTAGGTAGAGCTGCTTTGATTCTGTCTTGGTAATGTGGCCTGTGTAGTAGGTGTCCTGCAGGGTCCAGTGGCACAGCCTCTTCTATCATCCCAGCTGGGTACTCAGGTGCGTCCTTTGTGTAAGCTGAGTACATTCTCCTCTTGCAGTTGAGCCTTGGTTGCTGTTGGCAGATCAATGGGAGGGACTTATCCAGGCCAGTGAGCTTCAAGGACTGGCTGTGACCACATACCACCAACCTCCACCCTCTGTGGAGGATCAGCTGTGCAGGGGCCAGGTGGTGGTGCTCCAACATGCTCTGTAGCTGTCCACTGGGTGTTCTGGCTCTGGGGTTTCCTGGGTGGTGCAGGCCAAGATCAGTCCCCAGCTGTGTTTTGCCCTTGGCCACCTTCGATTTGCTCTAAAGCAGTCTGAGGTGGCTGCCACTTGTGTTGGGCTTGGAGATTCCCAGGAAAAGCCAAGCTGTGAATCTATGCTGGCTGTTGCTAGTGCAGGGCATGGGGCTTAGAGAGGGCCAGCTGTTGCTTCTTTGTTAGGATTTAGTAAGTTGTGCAGCATGAGCCAAGACCAGCAATTCATGTGGAAAAGCAGCTTGGGTGGGGCCTGTAAATTGGGTGGGACAGAGCCTCTGGGGATCTCCAAGGCAGGTCAAACAGTGTTAGCCAGGTTGATGGAGTCTCAGATATGGCACCAGCTTGCTGGGTCTGAGCGGGGAGGGTTTAGAAAAGGGACAGTGGCCTCTGCTTGCCTTGATGCCAGACACTTCAGTTCCTCCCTGCATGCCACTGGTGCCTTTCAAGCTGCTACCTGGGTGCTGGAGCTCAGAGGGAGAGTCTGAGTAAGTGAGTCTCTGTGTGGGTTCATTAAGAACTGCCTGGCACTCCAAAGGTTTCTTCTACAGACTCAATCTGTGCCTCTTTCTGTAGCCAGAAATTGTGGGGATTTATCTTCCTGGAACTGGAACCCTGGGCTCAGGGGCCTGGTGTGGGTCTCGGACTCCTCACTCCTGAGATAGCCTTCCCTAATTTTTATCCACTACACATGGAAGCGAGACCAGCCTGTTCCACCTCTGTGCCCCTCCTACCTGTCTGGATGGATGTGGTTTCTGTAATTCCATAGTTGTCAGACTTCCATTCAACTCAATTTCTGATGGTTCTGAGTGATGGCTGTTCTCTATTTTAGTTGCAATATTGATGTGGTTGTCAGAAGAGGCAATCCATGTCTCCCTACACCGCCATCTTGACCAGAAGTTTGGTTGATTTCTTATATAACTATAATTCATTATACCTACAAAGTTAATGAAAGTTCTTGATATCTGATACCTAAATTTCTCTTGGAAGGCTAAAGTTTTTAACATCTAAATTTAATCAAGTGTTTGTGTCCTGTAATGCTGTCATTGAAACAGTGATACTTCTTTTTCAGATTGGTGATGATGAACCAGGTTATGACCTAGATTTATTCTGTATACCTAAGCATTACACCGAGGTTTTGGAAAAGGTGTTTATTCCTCATGGACTAATTATGGACAGGTTAGTAAGATCTTAAATTGAAGTTTTTGTCTTGTATTAATTGTAGGTGTCAGCAAATGTTTTAAGTAATTGTTATTTGATCATAAACCAGACCAGCTTGTCACATAATAGATGTTTTCTATTTTAAAAGCCCTCTTTACAATAAGGGCAGGGAGGGCTTACTAATTATTCAACATCAGTTATGATGTACTGGGAATCTGTAGGGAGTAGAATAAAGTAAACATTGAAAGGAGATTGGAAGAATGAACTCTAGTCACAGTCTTTGATTTCTCAGCTCTGAATAGGGTAATTGGCTGGGGTTGAATCACAAGAAGGCAAGGTCAGATGTTGATTGGTATGCACATTTAGCTTGAAATTTCCCCTCAAATGAGTCACAGAGAAACAGTTTACTTGGTATTTAAATACTTGCCTTGTGTGTCAGGTTAGTTTGGTTTTGATTTTAAAATTACAATAATACATTTGTGTTGTGAAATATTCTAATAGTAGAGGCTATAAATAAGAGTAGAGTTCTCTATTTTCAGCCTGCTGTGCATATTCCTCTCTACCTACTGGCTATGCATATATACTATATGCAAATATACAAATATATTTTAACACATGTGTATGTACTATCATAAAGATCTAAAATTTATTGGACATTTTTTCATATTAGTATATCCAGAGGTATTCCATATACCTATGTATTTTAAAGATACCATAGCATTCCATTGTCTGGCTGTACCATAATTAATTTAACTAGTTCCCTATTGATGGACATGCAAAATCTCTTCATTATTTTGCTTTTATAGACCATACTTGAAGGGAGCATCCTTTTATATACCTTCGGGCACTTGCTCAACTTTATTCACGTGGAAAGTCTGAGTCAAGGGAAAGGTGTTTCTTGAATGTTCTGATACTGCCAAATCATCCTCCAGAAAGTTATGTTAATTTATAGTCCCACTGGTATATGAGAGTCCTGTTTTCCTCACAAGCTCGTCTAATAGTGTGTATTACCATGGAAATTTCATCGAATCAGAATTTGTCAATCTGATAAGTGAAAATGGTATCTTATTCTAAATGACATTTTAAAAATTTATTATAGATACTATAGTTTACCTGGCTTTTGAAAGTTTTTGAAATTTTTGCCTTTGCATTATGAAGCAAGGATATACTTTATGTGGGCCAAGGATGTATTTTGTGGAAGTTTAATGTTTAAGGAATGTTTGTTACAAAGGCATGTGCATTTTTATTATAAATAAATTTCTATTAAATTCCTAATTTTATTTCCATAGGACCGAACGTCTTGCTCGAGATGTGATGAAGGAGATGGGAGGCCATCACATTGTAGCCCTCTGTGTGCTCAAGGGGGGCTATAAATTCTTTGCTGACCTGCTGGATTATATCAAAGCACTGAACAGAAATAGTGATAGATCCATTCCTATGACTGTAGATTTTATCAGACTGAAAAGCTACTGTGTAAGTATAGCTAATACATGTTTACTCAATGAAAATTTTTTAAAAACATGGCAGTTGTAGGGTTTCCTGTTCATTTCAGTTGGTTAGAGATTTTCTAATATATTTACCAGTACTTTATATCCAAGTGAATATTATCTTTTTCAAACTAGTCAGATTAGAGATTATGTACTTATTTTAAAGCCTTTAATGTTTTGGTTTTGTTTTTTGGATTTTCTTTTAAAGATTTTATTTATTTATTTTGTAGAGAAAAGGGAAGGAGAGAGGGAGAGAAACGTCAATGTGTGGTTGTCCCTCCTGTGCCCCCAACTGAGTTCCTGGCCCGCAACCCGGGCATGTACCCTGACTGGGAATCGAACCAGCAACCCTTTGGTTCACAGGCTCATGCTCAATCTAGTGAGCTACAGCAGCCAGGGCTATTTTTTGTAGTTTTTATAACCCCTTTAAGAGTTGCTGTTGGGACTTGCGTGATAGTTTTGTTTTTTTGTTTATTTGTTTGTTTGTTTGTTTTTAACTATACTTGCCAGCGGCAGATATCTTCTCTGGAACTAGATTGCTTTGTGGGGAAGTTGTCCGAGTTAGCTCTGATAAATAAGATGGATCAACAGTTATTTCTAGAAAACATATGGAGTGAGAGCATTAGCACATTGAAAAAACCACTTTTGATTCACAGATACTCTATCTGTGTTACACGAACTCAAATGCTTCAGAATATTGACACTAGAATGAACAAAGATCGGTGTGATGTTTGCACATGAACATCCACATGTGGATGACGTTTCATCATCCACAATTTCTTTAATCATGTGCATGTTTAATTTTTATTACTTTATACTGTTGCTTTGTTTCTGGTTATAAGTTAGCAGTGTGGTGTCTGTGAATTACTATTTTTCCTTAAAAAATGGGATTTCTCCTAGTTTCTTCAAAAGTTCGCATAAATGTTCAGTCTTTGCTCTTTCATGAATCAGTATTCTAGTACATCTTTGTAGAAAATCACCTATGTTTACATTTTTATTGAGAATAAGACCACTTATCCACATTTAACTTTCAACCTTCATTCTCTTTGTTAATCATTTATTTGATCCAAGTCTTTGATCTTTTTCATGTTTTCATCAGTCCTGTGGGTGACTACATGACCACTTAAGTATTATAGACATTTTCCCTATCCCATTAAAACCATTTATGCTTACACATCATAACATTAGTTCATATTTATAAGCTCCTTTTAACTTGTTAGTCTTTACTTTGAAGTAAAGACTTATTTAATACAAAATATGGGGTTTTTTTAAATAAGATTTTATTTATTTATTTTATAGAGAGGGGAAGGAGAAAGAGAGGGAAAGAAACATCAATGTGTGCTTGCCTCTCCCATGCCCTGTAGTACTGGGGACCTATTCAGCAACCCAGGCATGTGCCCTGACTAGGAATTGGACTGATGACCCTTTGCTTCACGGGCCGGCACTCCATCCACTGAGCCACACCAGCCAGGGCAAAAATTTTGGATTTTTACTCATCATAAGTTATTTATTTTGCTGGTTTAAATTAAGATTTAATTTTAGACAGTATAGCTGCCCAGTTTTTAATATATTATTCCTTAGAGTCAAAACATGTACTCAAAGTCCATGGCATGACTTTTCTTTCATCGTCTTAGGCACCCCACCCACACACACATAAAAATAAAATCTTGTTACTTTATGACCCATACTTCATTCCTCTGGGAAATTGGGCAGAATGTTCTTTCTTTGAAAAGAAAACTCATAAAAATAAGTTTTTAAAGCAAGTTTTTAAAAAAGTGTTTTATAGCTGTAAGAGCAATTTGACGGAAAGGAACACTTGGACATTTTAATTCCATTTTCTACTTGTAGTTTCTTCTCTTAGTAGTTTTAGATCTTAGAGGATTATTAAACTGAACTTGTCAACTGATTAAAAAATGTGAAATCTTAAACATAAGCAAAGCAGATTTTTAGCTTAATTTTCACATAGATGAAAATAATATTTTCTGTTTTATGTGAAATTCTGTGTGGATTTGCTGCTAAGCAACAGAAATTAAGAAAACCATCCATGTGCTTTAATGTTTCAGTTTGTCATGGAAGATATTCACACATCCATTTAAAAATCTAGGCAACTTAATTTGATGAAGTTGTAAAATGGAAATTTAAAATTGTTTGCAGTATCAGTAACATTAATTAATGTTAGTATAGTTTTACATGCTGATTTCAGTTTGAAATAGTGAATTAAACATTGACTGGTTTTCACTAATCCTAAAGAAATGTTTCATAGCTGTTAAGTATTACTGGATTATTTAAAAAGCCCTAGCAATGTCAACACACCCCATCGTATTTTTCTTCAAAATAAAAATTGCATTTTTCTGATTAAAAAGCCCATTTATTATAAAAACATAAAACCACAAAAAGTATAAAGGAGGTAAGTCATTCTAAATTTCACCAGCACTTTTATTTCTAATATTTTAATGATTTTTTCTTTGAATACACACACACATATCACACATATATTATAGTTTACCTACTGTTTATCAAAGAAGCTAGGTAGGATTTTATTTGCTTAGTGCCTAGATGGAAAATTGGGGATTCCAAATACCATTTTCATTAATTCTAAGATACCACTGATTTTAAGGCTTAGTGCTTTTTTACTGTTAAGAAAAAAACACACTGTCAGTTATGGTAGTAAGTTGTGATTAGTTATAGTATGTTGATTTCAGAGGTATTAAAATGTGAATGTGCATCTTAGAACAATTCAGTGTTAGTACTATATAGTCAGTGGCCTTTTCTATCCCTAAAGCTCTGTGATTTTCAGAAAAATTAAGCAGTTGATAAGTATGGAAATGTAGTTTCTCTATTGTCAGTTCAATTTTTTAGTATTTTTTTTTTTTTACTAAAATAGTTTCGTAAGAAATGATGACGCTTCAGGAGGAAAAGTTGTCAGACAAGAAAATGTTTTGTGGGAATATTTTTGTGTGGGCCTTAAGAAAAGGGAAAATTAGCCTGTTATTTTTTTCCTTTGTTACACTTTTTTTTAGTCTCCATGTACATTTGAGAACAATGATGTAAAGAGGGATTAACATCTTGCCAAAGATCATACAGGTCTTTGATTGGAACCCAAGCCTTTAACTCTGTGTGCAGAACTCAGAGTCTTATTTGGGAAAACTTTTAACTGAATTGGATCCTGTAACATAGGCTTCCTATTTTTATTTTAAATAACTTTTTTTAAAGATTTGATTTATTTATTTTTAGAGAGGGAAGGGAGGGAGAAAGAGAGAGAGAGAAACATCAATGTGCGGTTGCTGGGAGCCGTGGCCTGCAACCCAGGTATATGGCCTGACTGGGAATGGAACCTGCGACACTTGGGTCCGCAGCCCGTGCTCAATCCACTGAGCTACGCCAGCCAGGGCTGGCTTCCTATTATTTTCATTCTCTATTAGTCAGAAGTTTTACATGCAACCAAAATTCATTTAACCAATTATGGAGGTTTTCCCTCGGTTGCACTCAAGATATATAAGCTATAACTTTCAGTCTTGATCTTAGAATTTGCTTGATTAATAGCTTAATTGGGCTGTTTAATATATCGAAGATGCAAATTACTTTATTGTAATTTGTAAGAAGGTGGCTATTTGAGTAAGCTTGTTAAAGACAATGTAGAAAATATTGCAGCAGTTTCTTTTTTAAAAGGTTTTATTTATTTATTTTTAGAGAGATGGGGAGGGAGGGTACGGAGAGGGAGAGAAACATTGATGTGAGAGAAACATCGATTGGTTGGATCAGTTGTCTCTCAGATGGCCCCGACTGGAGACCAAACATTGTGCCCTGACTGGGAATCAAACAAATGATATTTCACTTTGTGGGATGACACCCTACCAACTGAGCCACATCAGTCAGGACTATTGCAGTAGTTTTTTAATGTGTCTCTTAGAAGAGATCAGTATTTTCATTCTGATCTTTTTCTCTGTATTTGGTAAATTGCTTTTGAGGTGTGCTTTCTTCAGAACAGTTGAAATTAAATATGTGTATCTTTTTAAATTTGACACTAGATAATGTAAAGCTTATCTTCTATAAATCTATGTTTATGCATATATAAAGCTAGTGAAGTGATTTATATTTTTCTCCTACTTTTTATTTAGTTTAGCAGGAATAGGGATATATGCTTGCTATCTGTGTTATAAGGAAACTTTAACAGAACTAGGGTCAGAGTATACTTTCTAGCCCTTCCCTGTGCATTTTCACTTTGATGTGGTCCTTGTTGGACAAGTTAAGGTTTATGTAAGCACTCTGATTCTTAGAATATAAGAGCAGAGTTAAAGTTTGGGCCTGTGAAACTACAGATGTTGTGATAAATTAAGGAAGTGGTTTGATCCACTTAGCAAACATGTATTGATCATGTGTTATATACAAAGTACTATCTTAGGCCCTGAAAAGTAGTTCCATTGAACATATTTATTATACCGGGTACTAGTCCCAAATCAGGCATGGAATGGAAAACATAAAGAAAAGATGCAATAATTTCTGAAAGTTTGAAAACGGTATACTTGAAAATGCTAGGTATTAAATATCAGTACTAACTCTTCAATTTTCCCAGGTGTTCTATTATTGCTAAGTGGTATCTTTGATTTGATTAGATCCGTGCAGACAAATAGAACTTTCTATAATGATATAGATAGTCTATATGTGCTCTCTAATACAGAGCTGCTAGCTACATGTGGCCATTGAGCACTTGAAATATGTCTTGTACAACAAAGGAACTGAATTTTTAATTTTATTTAATTGTAAGTAATCGCCACATATGCTTAGGGGCTACTGTATTGAATAGTGCAGGATTGGGCCATCTATAAGGGCCCACCTACATCAGCATATTTTTAAACATAATAGCTTTTTTAAAGGGATCTGTTCTTTTAAAATACCTTATAAGATACAGTAAATAAATTAACTTATTATCTCAACATATATCCTTCCAGATATGCTTTATTCTGCATATTATTTTAGAAAATCAGATGTCTGCCACTTTTCATCTGAGGTGCAGTCTACATCTAAAAGTATATGATTCTAATATTCTCACTTTTGTAGATGTTTAATCAGGGTATAGGAAAAGAGTTAAAGGAGAGGATAGTTGAGATTATTATGTGAAGGAAAAATGTGATGGTGTGGTGGACTTGAAGCCTCGCTGGATGTTCAAGGGAATGGCTTTTTCCCCAGTAACTCCATTGTAGGCTCCTGAAAGAATGATCGGAAGTTCACAGCAAAAAGCAAGCTCTGCAGAGTGCAAAGCCACTAAATGTTAAGGCCACACTTCTGCCTTACTAATACTCCTAGCCTTGCTTTCTTGGGACCCCAGCCTTGGTGACTGGCCTCTATGCATCTTCTGCTTATGGCCTCAACCTGTTTGTTCCAGTAATTCTTTTGCCAGCCCATTCATTATATGGTTTTACACAGCTTTGCTCTTTCCCTATACCAAGCTGCAGTTCTTGTTGGTACTTAGAGGTTTTCAAAATGTGTAGAGATAAACAAATAGAAAGAAGCATAGTTCCTTTCTATTTTCTATTTTTTTTCACCTGGACTCAAGAAAAGTAGACAAAATAGAAACACAAGTGCTAAGGGTATGATTTTGTAGACCCAAATTGCTTCTGTGGGAATTTTATGTAGTTGACAGATTGGGTTCTCTGGCTGGGAAGAAAAAGGAGGTGGGATGATAGAGAAGGAAGACCAACTCAGAACAGGGGAGGGAAGGAGAGGGGAATCTCTTCCCTCTACTCTGCCAGTCCAATTATCTCAAGATTAGGCACAAAAGGACCACTCAGTAATGTAATGAAGTAGGAGTACAGTGGGAAGCTTGTTCCAGACAGGAAGGGAGGAAGAGAGGGAAGTTCTTCTGGTGGGGTAATTGATCCATGGGTACCATTTATATGTAATCTGGGCACTTACTACCTGTCTTCTAGCACATTGGGCTGCAATGTTTTTCTTAAATGAGTCTTCTTTATTAGCCTCCATTTAAAAGATGGTGTTGTTTCCGTGAAAAAAGCCTCAGAAGAGAATTGGTTTAAGCTAAAAACCTTAGGGCCAACAGGAATATGGAGATTTGGGAGGCTAGTGGATCAGCAGTGTCTTGAATGCTCAGAGTTCCTATGTCTCTTACCCTATTGCCATAGCCTTTGGATCACTGGGGGTTTTCTGTGTCTCCATACTTTTTAGTTCTCAGATCTTTACTCCTTTTCTCTGTAAAAGAGGGTCTATTGAAGTTGGACTGTAATACCAAATTTCTACAGAAGATGTCACTGTTTAACTTAATTTACAGTGTAAATCCTTTAGTATGAGTCACTCATTGAAAGCTTCAGGTTTTGTATAATTTTTTTCTATTTATCAGTTCTCTCTGTATTTGAAAATCTAGGGTCTAAGTTAGCATAAAGGGTGTGCATAACTGCCTTTTTCTTAAAAAAAGATTTTATTTATTTATTTTTAGAGAGAGGGAAGGGAGGGAGAAAGAGAGGGAGAGAAACATCAATCTGTGGTTGCCTCTCACGCACTCCCTACTAGGGACCTGGCCTGCAACCCAGGCATGTGCCCTGACTGGGAATCAAACCGTCAACCCTTTGGTTCACAGGCCCACACTCAATCCACTGAGCTACACCAGCCAGAGCCTTAATTTCCTTAAAATTAGAAGTAATATGAGCTATTTTTTTTTTATATCAGAAGTCATACTTACATCTTCTGTTTAGTTTGCAACACTTAACAGTATTGGCCCATTTGTGTTTTTCAAAAAAAAAAAACAACACTCCATAAAAATTGAACATGTATATAGAAGCATATAACAAAAATAGAAATAAGTAAAAGTAAAAGTCTTGTTATCCCCATCCTCACCATTTAGATGTAATTGCTGTTACAGACTTTTTAAAAATGCTGAACAAAAGTGATTTCATGGGCAACATATTGCTGTACTAGTAGGTGTTTTTAATTATCATTATTCCATGTCAGTTTGGATAGATTATCACATTCTTTGCCGTAGGTGCATGGTATTTACTTTACGAGGACTTAAACAGTTGTCTATTAAAAGACATGGTTGTCTCCAGTATTTCTTTTTTATAAACAATTGATACTGTGAACTTCCTTGTATGTACATTTGCATACTCACGGGTGTTTTTGTAGCATTGATTCCTGAAAGTGGATCGCTGGGGCAAATGGCATGTGTATTTACAATTTTAATAGGTATTGCTGTGTTGTTTTCAAAAGAAGTTGTACCAATATAAATTGGTACTCGCAGCAACAAGAGTTCTTTTTTTCTCTCACTTTTGCCCACATGTATCATGAGGCTTAAGTTTTGCCAGCGTGAATGGGCAAACAGTAGAATCACATTGTTTTAGCATTTGTTTCTCAGATAGATCTAATTTTATATGTTATGGCTTTCTCTTCTGTGAATTGCCTGTTTGTGTTTGTTCTTCATTTTCCTATTGGGTTATTATTGTTGGAACCCAATGGGAATATTAGTTATAGATCTTTTCTTTCAGTTTGGGTTCATATCATGCCTAGGTTTTTATCCTTTCTAAGAATGTGAAAATAGTCTATTTTCTTCCATTCTGCTTATGGCTTTATTTTTCACATTCAGATTTTAATCCATCTGGAATTTGTTTTTGTGTATGCTGTGAGGTAGGGATCATGCTTTACTTTTTTCCCAAGTGGATAACTTGTTTATCAAACATCATTTGTTAGATAATTAATCTTCTACTTACTGACTTGAAATACCATCTTTATCATATATTAAATCCTCATATATTTCCTGGATCTGTTTCTGGGCTCTATTTTGTTCCTTGATTTCTTTGTCTGTTACTCTGCTGGTACAGTGCTGTTGTAATTGCTGTAGCTTTGATATGGTTTGTTCTCTGGTAGGGCAAGTCCAAGCTCTTTTGTTTACCTGCTCTTTCGCCCCAATTTTCTGTCTTGAATCCAGTGCAGCCAAGTGATGATCATTATCACTGCCCACTACAGTGGGTGTGGAGCATTCTCCTTTGAAACTCCTATCAGAGTTTCTACTGGATTCTGTGATACCGGAAAACTGGGAACCAAAGAGGGATGCCTTAAAGGACTACTGATGAGACCTCATTTCCCAGACCCTGCCGAAGATGAACTGGACCTGGGCTACACTTTTCAGGGAAATATCTTTGGGGTTGAGTGTGTTGTAGACCAGACCCTTCAACTTGCTTACTTAATGGGAATGGTCTAGGGCCAGAACCAGACACCTGCCATGCTAATAACTTCCCCCGTGGTTCAGAAATTACTGTGACTGAAAATGGGTGGCTGCTGTACTACTGCCCACTTGAAAATGGGTGCACTCTATTTTTAAGACTCCTAAAGTATCAAGTCAGTGATAGCTAATTAGGACTTTTTAGTTTTTACTAATCTCTAGTTGAAAGTTATCTAGTCATTCATTTCTAGAAACATAATTCTTACAATGTGTTCATAATGCTATGACATTAGAAAGCTAACTTCTTAAATCTTCTAGTTCCCATTTGATAATATGAAATGTGAATGTGTGTATACACACAAGGATGTACATATATATTTATACCTTTTTTTTTTACTAGAATGATCAGTCGACAGGGGACATAAAAGTAATTGGTGGAGATGATCTCTCAACTTTAACTGGAAAGGTATGTATCTTGAAGGGGAAAAAATAGCCCTTTCTACCAAGAGTCAATTAGTAACACTGTGTGGTCAATCAGTCACTAAGAGGCAGTTTACATAGTTACTTATGCACATAAATCAGGGTTATTTAACCCTTGGGAGCAATCTAGGTTAGGTATGTTTCTTTAGGCCAGATGGCCACAAGGTAGCAGAATCCACCATTAAATGTAAAAGTCCATGTTGCCAAGTACTGTTCGCTGCCTCTTTGAGGATCTAATTTCGGATCCTTTGAAAGGATATGTATGGGGAGAAAGACAGTCTTCTTTTTAAAAATAGACTCACACATAATTTCTTAAAAGATAGAGAAACAGTAATAGTGTAGTGGCTGAAAGTGTGGGTTCTGCAGCTGGACAGCTTTGATTCAAAGCCTGGCTCATTGCTTCCTAACGTGTGACCATGGTCAGTTTATTTAACCTCTCTGTCTCCCATACATAAGGTCGGGGTGATAATGGCATCCCCCTCACACAGCTAAGAAGATTAAGTGAAACAATGAGTTTAGAGTTCTTTAAAAAGAAAGATTTTATTTATTTTTAGAGAAAGGAGAAGGGAGGAAGAGAGGGAGAGAAACAATGTGTGGTTGCCTCTCACATGCCCCCCTCTGGGGACCTGGCCCTCAACCCAGGCAGGTGCCCTAGACTGGGAATCGAACCGGTGACCCTTTGGTTCGCAGGCCGACACTCAATCCACTGAGCCACACCAGCCAGAGCTGCATATCAAGTTCTTACAACAGTTTTTGATAGTTAGAACACCCAGTAAATTCAAGCATATGATTATTTTAAGAGATCTCAAAAAGAATTTAAAAAACATCAAAATTCTTCCAGTATAGACAACTGGCTGAACTAATAGAGATATTAAGATGTCTGAATATTTTTCTTTTGATACAATGAAATGTTTTTTTGAGTAACCAGTGATAAATGATAGAATGCTACATTTTTAAGTGGCAAGTTACTTTTTTACTTAATGACTCTGTACCAAATATAAATGCATAATTTTAAATTTTCAGAAGAATTCTGTGAGGTAGATACTATTCCCATTTTACAGATCAGTAAAGTAAGACTCAGCTAGGTTGAAGGACTTATTCTAAGTCATACTGCCAGTAAGTGGTAGAGCTTGTTTGTGAATCTAGGTCTGTGAGGCTCAAGACCTGGCTTTTTACATGTTAATGTTTACAGCTTATTTGACTTTGTAAGGAAATTTCAGCATACAGCACTTGTGTCTTACTCTGTGATCCCTTATCAGAGTCATGCTAAGTTAATGTTGTCCTGCTCAACATCTCTGGAAGACTTTTAAAGGAGAAATTATAATCTATGGATTCTTTTCCCTCCCTGTCCATCCTATACACCACTGCCAGACCTGTCCTCCTTCCCTTTCAGTATGGTTTGCCCATATTTTGAAGTCATTTGAAAACCTTACTCTTACTGTCAGTTTTTAGTGCTGGAGGGGGCCTAGATTTCACCTTCTGTGATTTTATTTGACCTTGCCTTTCCCATCTAATGGCTCTGTTCCACTATGTAGCTCTGTGATCTTAAAAGATCTCTATTTCTAAAATAACTTTCTTTTCATGTTAGTCACAGTAAAGCACAATTTATTGTGGAAAAAAATCAAGACATAAATTGGATGAAGTTATTTCTTGCTGGTTAGATTATGGGTTATTTAGAGTTTATATTCATCTTTTTGGGACACTGTGTATATGCAGATACGTATATAACTATCCCCTCCACTCTTTTTGAAGTTAATGGATAAGAATATGTGAAAACACCTCTTCAAATCTCTATTTATTACTTGGCTATTTTTGTGACTTTAGGCAAGTCACAGACCTCTGAGCTTCAATTTTTTAATTTATTAAGTAATGATGTAGCTATTTGACATAAAAATAAGCCCTCAACAATGGTAGCAATTCTCATTCTTTTTCTAAAATAGTATTAATGTCTCTGGACTTTGATTTGTATAAACTGTCTCATACCACCAAAAGTCTATGATTATGACTTACTGGTAATCAAGGTTATGCAGGTATTTAGTATTAGAGCCAAGACTAGAATCCAGTTTTCCTTTCTCCTAATTCAGTGTTTCCAAACTATAATATCATCCCATGGTGCACATCGCTGCAGCAATGAGCCACAGTTACTGACAGCAAAATGTTATCCTTCAGATGTGCTAGCTAGGGTAGAGAGTGTTGAGAAAGAACCACATAGTAAGTGGTGAAAAAATTATTGGTGTATTAATTACTATATTCAGTTTTACTAAAGATTTAGATTGCAGTATCTTTTGAAAGATAAATTAGTTGTGATATGAAGAGCGGAGTAAATTATATATGAACTGTGGTAGTAATATTATGTGTATTGTAAAGTACAGGCAACATTACAAATTATGCAAATTGAGGTTTTTAGAAAGTTCTAATTTTCCTTTCTTGCAACTAAATGGATCTTGTGTGCCCTCCATTGGTAACCACTGACTTAGAAGAGTATATAGAACATTAAAATTTTGATGTTATATGTATATGACAGAGAAATGGAATATAAAATAAATAATGTAGTATGGATCTTATGCTAGTGATTATAACCAGTATGTGAAATGCTGCTTCATTTCTATAACTAATGTAAGAATAAGTAGGATTCTTCTGTACCTTGGAGGTAGTCCAATGGTATTTTCTGTAAGGGTTCTTCCAGCTATAAAATTCTGAGAGGTAGAAATTGGGGTGAGAGTTTATGGTGGGAGGAAGCAAAGATTCGTATCTTTCTTTAGTTTAGTCTAAGAATATGAACACATGCAGAAAATATAGAACAATTTCAGTCTAATTAGTAAATGGGTTTTGAATTAGATTCGATATGGTAAGTTAAATGCATGATTTTGGAATTATTTTCTGAATTATAGTTATTGACTTTTAGAGTTGAAGACGTATATTCATTCAAGTCCCTCATTTTACTCGTGGGAAACTGAGGCTCAGAGAAATTTTATGACTTGTCCAAGATTAGACCTCTGTTTAAGTAATAAAAACTTTTAAAAATGAACATATGGGTCAAATTTTATTTTTAAAAATTCCATTGCAGTGAAAATTTCATATTAAAGAGTTCCAAATCCCAACAGATGGAATTTGTTATGTTATGATTTGAGTTATAATTAGAAACACCGTCTGATTCATTGTACTGATTTTCATTTCTCTTTTTCTTCTAGAATGTCTTGATTGTTGAAGTAAGTTCTCCATACTTTTGATATAGTGTTTGTGATTTTCTAACTTAGTATGCACAGTCATAGAGGTAAGCTAGGAAAAGAAATTCCTCTTATTCAATTTTAATGGTGAGCTTGTGTTATAAGAGAGTGAGGTTGTCAAAAATACTTTATTTGTACTGGATAATGGAAAACATTTTGGAATATTTCTTAACCCTCTTTTTGGCTTGAAATTTTTTTTCTTTTAAAGTTAATGTTTATTATTCACATGCATGTTCTTATTGCTTCAATTGCATATATGTATCCATATACAAAATATATTTTGATTTAAAATTGATATAGTACCACACTATATATATTCTCTCTTGCAGCTTGTTATTGTCACTCAAAATTGGTTTTGAGGTTATTCATGTTGACACATATAGAGTCAGTTGGCTTTAAAATGCTGTATAGCATTGCAGTATAGAAATCAACCAATTTATACTCTGCAAATAGGGAGTTTGCTTACAATGTTTCCTACTACAGTAGGGCTGCTAAGAGCCTTCCTTTGATGTCCTGACGTGCATTTATATGAATTCCTTCTAAATATCGGTGCTTAGAAGTAGAATGACTGGGTTGTAGAATTTGTACATTTTTAATTTTACTATTATTGCCAAATGATTTATCAAAGTGGTGTATACTTTATACTCCAAACAATGGAATACATTCTCATTCTCTTTTGTAAAAATGGTTTAAGGCTTAAGAGCAACAATGTAGCTTAAAAATGTAGCTTCATTAATTCCATTTCAGATTGATTCATTTTTTCTGGGGCAATGCCTAAATTAGCAGCTTAAAACAACACTCATTTATTATCTCAGTTTCCATGGGTCAGTAGCCCAAGTACAGGTTAGCTGGGTCCTCTGCTTTGAGTCCTCTGCTCTGGGTCTCATCATGCTGAATCAAAACTGGGGCTACAATCTCACCTGTGGCCTATGAGCCCCTTCCAAGTTCATTCACGTTGTTGGCAGGATTTAGTTCTTGTGGGTGCAGGACTGAGAGCCAGGAGTTGCTCTCAGCTTCTAAAGGCCATCCTCATGTTGTAGCACATGGCTGCCGCACGCGGCAGCTGACTTCTTCAAAACCAGCTGGAGAATCCTCTCCAGTCTGTTAACAACTATCTTGCACAATATAACCTACTCGTCACAGGAGTGACCATCCCATCTTCTTCGCAGTTCTGTCTTCATCCTCAGCAGGAGGGAATTTTTCCTGGTGTGTACACCAGAGGGCAGGAGTGTCTTGGAAGCCATCAGAATTCTGTCTCCCACAGTCCAGAGATCTACATTTTTTACAAGTCTCCAGCCCTGCTGTTTCTGATGACTCATAGACCCCATTTTGTGAAGCACTGCTTTATACCCTTTGTAGAGAGTATTTTCAATGAAGAGTGTTAGGGTTATGGTTTAAGAAATATTTTCCCAATGAGAGATGGGTTTGTTTTGAATAAATACATTTAAATAGTATAAATTTAATTATATATAATAAATAACATAAAATAAGTATATTAGGTAATAGTATATAATAAATATACATAAGCAATATATAATCTATAATAAGTTATAGATTTAAGTTAGTTGTCATTGACCTCTTGGTGCCTACTGAAATCCAGTTTGGAGGACCAGTATTCCTACTGCTTGCTGAGAGCCAGATGCTTTACATATTCTAGAATATCTAGTGTATGAATTGTGGTGAGAATTACTATACTGGAAAAAATGGCATTATTCCAGTATACATAAGGTTTGGGTATTTTGTGCTCATATAATGACTGAATTTAAAGTTTTGATGGTTTTATTTACCATTTAAATGTCTTTTTTTAAAGGATATAATTGACACTGGCAAAACAATGCAAACCTTGCTTGCCTTGGTCAAGCAGTATAATCCGAAGATGGTGAAGGTCGCAAGGTATATATATATATTTATAACGTTTTGTCATAGGATATCTTTTTTCATTTGCAAGGGGATTAAGTAGTTACTCCTTTGTAAGGGTAAATGCTCTCAACGGTTGTTTTATCTTCAAAAAGCAATGTGATCTCAAATAAAACTTAGTAGTATCCTTTGTAAATGATTGTGCATTTCTCTGATACACAGTGATCTTGAGATTCTTTTCATCTGTTTATTGACCATTTGTATGTCTTCTCTGGAGTGGTTACACACTTAAAGTATTGAAATTGCTTAAAAAACAAGTTACCATCATGCCTTACAGATGGAAGGAACTTTATTAAACATTCAGATCTACAGGCGTGTGAAGTGCTGAGTTCCCCTGAACCCTTAGTAAAGCTTGCGCTGAGTTTGATGGTATTTTTTCTGGAGTGTTCCTCAGTGAGTGAAGGTAGAGTGATGGGTTTTGCTGTGAGTAGTTCATTGTTTTTCTTTCTAAATGGAAATTCACTCCCAGTGTATCATCTGTTTAATTACTGGAAGAGAATCATGAAGGACTTGATTAGATGATCCCTTGGAGCCTAGGACTTAGGCCAGTGGTTCTCAAATTCAGTGGCACTTTGGAATTACCTGAGACTTTTTAAAAAATTTGTGTCCCATGGCTAGTGATTCTGATGTCATTGGTTAGGGGTGTGGCCTAGGTATCTGAGTGTTGTTTTGTTTTGTTTATTTTAAAGTTCTCAGATGATTCTCATGTGCAGTTAAGGCTGAGAATCACTTTTAGGTCATTTCCAGTTCTTTAAATATATTTATCTAGGAAGGTATGAAATCATAAGTTTTACTGAGACTGCCTTTAACACATAGCAAGGCTTTCAAAGCACTGTCACTCTACAACTTTTTTTAATGGCTAAAAAATTTTAGCAGGCAACACATGAATTATGAAATTAGCTTTTGTTAGAATTCACTCAACCTGTCTGCAGTTTTTGCTCTGAAACATAAATACTGGCTCCTTTAGTATGGTAGTTACTTTTTAACCTAAAGTTCCTCTTTGTAAGCAAAGTATTAAAACTCTTGAAAGGTGATGCTCACCTCTCCCACACCCTTTGTGGTTAAGGGATTGTGTTTCTAGGGATTCTGGACTGGGAGTGCTTTTCTTTGCTCATTGGCACTCCCCCGCTATGTATCTTCCTGATTAGCTGTCCTTCAATGGGTGCGTGGGTAGTCGGGTGCAGTTCTCAGAACAGTCCATCATGTTCCAGGTGGAGATCAATCAAGGGCTTCATCTGTAGTGTGAACTCATTGCTGCCCTTGCCCAGTGATCCCTGTGATTTATTTAGACACGGTTTCATGGTCTTTCTTTGGGTATGTTAAAACTGACCATGGTATGCTAAATGCAGATGAAACTAGGTTTCAGAACATTTATGTTCTCTTTTGTAATGCCCTATAGTGTTTAAATATGTCACATATCACATTTTTTAAATTAACAGCTTGCTGGTAAAAAGGACCCCTCGAAGTGTTGGATATAGACCAGACTGTAAGTGAATTACTTCCTGTCAATCATTTAACCATCATCTTTAACTGAAACAAGTTTTATAAATGAAATGGTTTAGACTTACTTTAGAGAAGGTACATGTGATTTGAAAGTGATGTTTTCCATATCTAAATGATGAATTATGATTCTTTTTAGTTGTTGGATTTGAAATTCCAGACAAGTTTGTTGTAGGATATGCCCTTGACTATAATGAATACTTCAGGGATTTGAATGTAAGTAAAACTTATTTTTCTCACTCTCATTTTTCAGAACCCATATAAAAATTTATGAAAGAGAATTGTTTTCTCTTTCCAGCACCTCATAATTTGAGCAGACTGATGGTTCCCATTAGTCACATAAAGCTGTAGTCAAGTAAAGACGTCCTTAGATCTGGAATTTGGCCAGGCTACGGTGACACTTCTTGCTGGCTGAAATAGTTGAACAGCTTTCATATACACTAACTGTCCCATTATTATTTCAGGTGATATATGTGGTCATAAGTAAGAAATAAATGAACTAGTTTAAGTCTTTTATTTCACTGTCCTTCAAATGCCTGTCTCCTCTGGAGGCAGGAGTCCTGAGAATGCATTTCTAAATATAAGTGAAGAAGATTGGGGAGACTGCACAAACTTCAGTTTGTCTAGTAAAAAAAAAACAACAAAACAAACAAACCTTGCAGCATAATACTATTCACATAAGATATGCAAAGTTCTATTCTTGCCTTCCATTTCAGAACACACTTTTCTAATGTGAATTTCTGGATTTTTATTTTTTAGCATGTTTGTGTTATTAGTGAAACTGGAAAAGCAAAATACAAAGCCTAAGATGAGAGTTCAAGTTGAGTTTGGAAACATCTGGAATCCTATTGAAATCACCAGTAAAGTTATCAAATGTTCTAGTTCTGTGGCCAGCTGCTTAGTAGAGCTTGTTGCATGTATCTTCTAAGAATTTTATCTGTTTTGTATTTTAGAAATGTCAGTTGCTGCATTCTTCAGCTCTTTATTTGCACTATGAGCCTAAAGACTATCAGTTCCCTTTGGGTGGATTGTTATTTGACTTGTGAATGAAAAAATCTCTTAAACCACACCACTATTGAATGGAAATATTGTAATTGTATCTGTAAGAAAAATTTAAAGAGAAGATATATTAGTTTTTAATAGGTATTTTAATTTTTATATATTCAGGAAAGTACAGAAGCAATTGAATATTGTTCATTATACCACTGTGTGTTGAGAAAAGTAAAAAACAGTCAGGTTTTGTATTAATGAGAGCATCTAAGAGATATTGTTATGGCAGATAAACCATATGTTCTGGAATTATTTTAGTAGTGTTTCAGTATCACTAACTGTATTTTCCTGCTTGTTCAGATTATTTTCAGTGACTCTTTGTCAACAGTTCCTTTTAAATACAAATCAATAAATTAAAAAAAAAACTTTACCACCTTTTGAATTCTTCAGTGTAAAAATCCTTAAAATAAAGGCTGTCTCTTTAAAAGAAACTATGCATACCTATCACTTCTCTACAGATTAACCTAGTATAGTTTTCTTTTAGTTACTTTTTCCTTGTCTGTTAAGTTATAGTAACTAGTTTAACTGTAATCTTTCCCAAGCATGGCGAATAATGATTATCTGGTAGAATGGATTGGTGAAGCTAGTGAAATTCTTACTCTCTCCAGAGATGTTAAATTTCAGACACATGGTATACTTTATTACATTTTACTATGCTAAAATAACATGACTCTCTCTTGGAATTCTGTTGGAAATTGTTTGGATTACAATCTCATCTGCATTGCAACAATTTGTTTCCAGACATGTACTATCACCTTCTTTGGGTAGATAATACTTTATTGACTAGAGAACAAGAACAACAAAAACTTTGTTTTCTGGGAGCAGAAAGAAAAGTTTTAAACCAAAAAATACTCCCCTGTTAATTGTTTCTTTGTTTCAACTAAGGTGTGAACTAGCAATCTTGTGAGCCATCCAGTTATATTTATGCCTTAAATGTTAGTCGAAATTCCCAGCAGCAAAGTAGGAAACTTTAATAATAGTTTGTTACAGTACTAGAACTTTCTAGTTTATAAAAATTTTTATTTTTGTTATCGGATCTTCATAACCCTGTGAGGTTGAAGTTGGTGTTACCACATGGGAGTGTAGTATCTAAGATAACTCCTGATTCCTCCCCACCCCCAGCCCAATATGTCAACTCACTGATGTAATTTATAACTGCAGCCTTCTGCCACTGCTGATCCTCCTTACCCATCTCTTTTCCATTGCACTTAACCATTTTATTAGGTTGAACCATATAAAATTACCATTTTTTCCTGTTTTTTATTGTTCAATTACCCCCAAGTTGTTCCTATCCCCCCCCCACTACTCTCCCCTGCGAAACTACCATTTTTGTAGGTAAAAGTAGTTGGCTATTGGCAATTTTGAGTGGTGTAACCTAATAATAGGTGGTATAATTTACATTTGTATTTATTGCTCACTATCTCTCCCCTCCACATCTTAAAATGTAAGCTCCATAAAGGAGGCAAGAATTTTTATCTGTCTTGTTCACTGATGTATGTTTTACTGCCTCAAAGATAATAGGAGCTCAGATTGTTGTTGAATGAATGAATAAATAGCTAAGAGCTTGAGGTTAGACTGTCCTGACCTTGGCTTATATAGCTATATGACATTGAGTTACTTAACTTTGGAACTAGTTTACCCAACTGACTAATGGGGACACTGCTGTCTCCTTCACAGACTTACTGTAAGAAATAACTAGATGTGATAGCACAGGCAAAATAGAACAGTGGCCTGGGACATACCGAGTGCTTCTTAAATATTAGTTGCTACTTCAAACAATGAATGCTTTGAGAACTTAGGTGCATGGCTAGTAAGAGGCAAAGCTTGAACCCAAAATCTGACTGATTCTTGATAACAAAATCATAAAGAAGCTGAACTGTTTCTCCTTCTGATTCACCAAAAATCTTTAGTTTGTGGTTAAGGAATGTTTTAGCTGGTTGGCAAACCCAACAAGAAACCCAGCTAACACCTAGGAAGGAACCTCCTGAAGCTCATGTACTTTTCTGATAAGAATATTCCTCAGACCTTCTTTAACCTGCTCTTTGGGCATACAATTCTAATGATTTATTTAATCAATTTTCAACAGATTAGACATAGTCTGTTCATAGTATGGGGAAAGGGTGATGCTGATAGGAGCAGCAGTAATTCTTAGGATAAGTCCATCAAAGGTTGAAAATAAGTATTAATAAGACATAAGGCATAGCCTCCTGGGGTCATTTAGTCATTCAGTATAGTAGCAAATGGTCATAAATGTCACACCTCAGTAATCCCTAAGGGTTGCACTTTCATTACAACCCTGTATAATAAGGGACCTTCATAAGGAAAAGAAAATGAAACTTCATTTGCTTGTTTCTTGGAGATAGGGAAGCATGGGATCTGTTTTAGGAATACAAGTATTACCATCCAAGGGAAGTTGATGCTTACTTAAAGAAGAGGTATTGACCCGGAAAATTCATGTGTTGAACCCATCATGTTTTCCTGTATTGTGAATGCTTAGAATATTATATGTGTATCATACCTATAAATATAGATAAGTCTCCATTTTAATTCCATGTATAAAAGATTTATAGATAATTTGGCCACTGCTCTAATTTATTAGCTTGGAAAGTTAATCAATTAATGTCCTTCCCTATATTTCAGATTTTGGAAACTGGGTACTGGGGAAGACAGGACAAGATTCCTGATTTCATGAAGATTTCATTCTAGACATTTCTGGGCAAAGGGGACAGTAAACAAGATAATTTCAACTAGTGGCAGGTGTGAAGAACCTAACACAGCAGTGTGCTGGAGGAGAGGGGTAGGCTGTGAAGAACCTGGAACAGCAATGTGCTGGGGCCGGGATGAGGTGTAGGTACCATGTGTTAGATAAGGTGGTTAGGGAAGGTCTTGGTTGAGCTTCAAATGAATAGAAAAGAAACCAGCCACGTGAAGGGCTAGGTATAGACAGTTCTTCCAGTAGGAATAGCAAATCTAAAAGGTGCTGAGATGGTGACTGTTAACCTGAAAATAAAAAGGCAGTTCAAAGTAAGCAACAGGCATTTATTTGAGATCAAATAATAGCCATTTGGGAAGCACTGATTCAGGCAGAAGCCCAAATAATGTTCCAATTAGGAGACAAAGACAATGGATATTCATGAAGAGGAACAATTATATCAATAGAAGGAAGGCATTTCCATAGATACACACAACATGAACATGGTGGTGTTAATTCTAAACAGTGTTTCTAATTTTCAGTCCAGTAGTCATCGGTCCTGTAGTCATACCTGCTTTCTGTTCATGTTTGCAAACAGTTCTTTGGAACACAAGCTTGCTTTAGACCCAGTCTTAAGGTTATTTTGCCCTGTTTTAACATTCCGAATGAGATGTGCAAGACAGTTTTTCTGCAACAGCAGCCCCAGCTCCATTTCAATGATCTTTTTATTATTATTATTATTTTTTAAAATATTTTATTTATTTTGAGAGAGGGGGAAGGGAAGGAGAAAGGGAGAGAAACATTAATGTGTGGTTGCTTACTAGGGGCCTAACCTGGCCCACAACCCAGGCATGTGCCCTGACCGGGAATTGAGCCAATGACCCTTCGGTTCGCAGGTTGGCACTCAATCCACTGAACCACACCAGCCAGGGCTTTTTAATTATTTTTTGACATGGCAAAATATCTGAGGCGTTGGAGGAAAAGAAGGAAGGCCAGTGTCTGCAATTAAGGAGAGTGGTAGGACCTGAGATTAGAGAGGAAGGTCAGGGCCAAACCATGGACAACCTGGCAGGCTGTGGCAAGGCCTTTGGATTTTCTGCATTCTGCTATGGAAAGGCACCGATACTTTTAGTGTAGGGAATGAGGAGATAGGGCACATTCAGAGTGGTATGCCAAGTGAAATAAGTCAGATGGAAAAAGTCAAGAACCATATGATTTCACTCATGTGGGATATAAAACTGAAAGCAACAAATGAACAAACAAGACAAAAGAAACCCTCATAGACACAGACAACCGTATGGTGGTTACCAGAGGGGAAGGAGGTTGGAGGGAGAGTAAAGGGGGTCAAATAATTGGTGACAGAAGGAGATTGACTGTGGGTCATGAACACACAATGCAATATATAAGTGATGTATTACAGAATCATACACTTGAAACATACAATTTCATTAACCCATGTCACCCCCATAAATTTAATAAAAAAATTAAAATACTAAAATAAAACCAGAATGTATGGAAATAAATTTACTAAAATTGAAATAAAAAATAAAATAGGGAATGAAAAGATTTTATTTGCATTTTTAAAGGCACAGGAACCTCTGAACTGTTCTACAAGTAGGTGCAGGGGCTTCAGGAGTAAAACTGGCAATGCCAGTAGTAGCCACTATTTAATACTTTTAATGTGTGTCAGATGTTGTGCTAAGTGCTTTATATACATTATTTTATTTATATACGTGAGTTTTATTGATTTGCAGCACATTTCACAGAAGAGACTGTTTTAGAGGTTCAGTGGCCAAATTAATGGAGGGAAGGCTGCCATGGACAAATTGGCCAGCATTTCTTCTCTGGATTATTGCGGTAGCCTCCCACCAGATCTCCAGTTCCATCCTTGCCCCCCTTCCCCTGCCTGACACACACACACAGTCTTAACACAGCAGCCAAAGTGATCCTAACTAAAACATTAGTCAGAATGAGTCACTCTTTGGCTCTCCATCTCGGAGTGAAAGCCAAAGTCCTTACAATGGTGGTTAATCTACTCTTCCCCACCTCAGTGCTTCAAGCACCCTGGCTGCCACTGTACCACAAGCATGCTGAGCAAGCTCCAGAACCACTCCCCTTCTATGTGCACCACCACCTTAACTATTTGCAAGAGTGCTCAGACTGCTGCCAGAGCCTCCCAGCTGCTCTCCCTGCCTCTGCTCTTGCCCCCACCCCGCAGTTAGGGTTTTGGAAAATCGTTTTTTTTTCTCCTCTTCTCATTTTTTGGATGATGATATTTGAAAAATATATTTCAGATTATATCACTTGCCTGCTTAACACTCAAAAACTCTATCATTTGGCCCATCTGTAAACTGGCCACTGCCCACGTGTCTAAATGTATCCCCCGCCTTGCTCACTTCAACCACACTGCTGTTCTCTTCAGTTCCTCAAGCCTGCCGTTCATCTCCCCCTTGCCTTAGGGCCTTTGTAACTCCTGCTCCTTCTGCCTATCACTCCATTCTCCCAGATCAACCTGGCTGGCCCACTTATCACCTCGATGAACCTTTCTCTGATCTGCCTCCCTTAACTGCCTCAAAGTTACTCATTATTACATTACCTCTGTTTTAGTTTCCTCCTGGTCCTTAGCACTGTCAGTGGTCAAGCAGTCCTTAAATGGCAACCACTACAGTTGCTAGGTTGGACTTGCTACTTTGCCATAGATTCTGCAGGGAGGGAAAGAGCCCAAGTGAATACACATAG